TAGATGTGCCTGGAACTGAATCTGGGCATGACTGACACATGGGATAGGATAGACATTTCTGACAAGAGACTAAGCATCCCTTGTATGATGAGAAAGTGGCACCTGAGTCACAGAGTCCTGCTGTGGAAGATGAAGTGCCCTCGAAGGTGTTCAATGGGAATACAGCTAATGCTCACTGCACCATGCATGCTAGAAATTCTGTCTGTTCACATTTCTCACCATAATGCAATCTGATAACTCTTAACTTTTTAACTAGCTCTTCAATTCATGGAGTGTTCAAAAGACAATGAAGTGATACAGAGACCAAACCATGATGCTGTTTGATGTGCATGGTTACTTTGAACCCCACATAGGACATTCAGACAGGCCTAACAGTCTCCTAGGGCTGCTAGGAAAAAATGCCAAAAACTGCAACAGGAATTTATTCTCTTACCATTCTGAAGTCTGGAAGTCCAGTATAACATAGGTTCAGTAAGACCTTGCCCTCTTCAGTCTTAAGAGAGGAGCCTTTCCTCATTTCTTCCAGCTTCTTGTGGTAACTGGCAAATGTTGACATTTCATGGCCTGTGGTAGAGTTCCACACTCTTAACAGTTCCTGACTCTTAACAAGTTTTCTCTGTGTCTGTGTCTCAATATCCAAATTTTTCTTCCTTTTCTCATCTAAAGAAGGAATCACTTAGCATACACACTAATGCATCAATACCTCCCATCTTAATTTGATTGAATCTACAAAGACATCTGAGTCTATGTATCTACAAAGACTACTGAGTGCAAGAGGTAAGTATTTTGAGGATATAAACCAGCTCACTACAATGCCCAGAGGAAATAATTAGTATGTCATGGCTGAGTAAATCAATAACTTGTAGCTTTAGAAATATGTCTTTTCTTACTCCAACTAATTTCCCATATATGAGACATGTTTATGCCTGGAAAACAGTCTGAGTTTAATTGGATTCACTATTAGGTGAGTTCAGATTCTTGTATCAACCTGGGATTTAATGATTTTAGCAAAGACATATAGGATATGGAAATTGTAGTTTTGAAAGGGATACTACTATAAAGAAATGAATATAATCAGAAACAGCAAAAGAGGAATTTAGAATGGCTAGTCTTCTAATGAGACAGCCACAATCATTTGCTCCTAGATTTAAGCTGAAATGCAGGTAAATGTTGATCTGAATATAAAATTATTCTGGAACATAACCTAAACTGAAAACTGGGGATCTTGAGTTAAAATTTTCCATTATATTGAGAACTCTTCAGTTACATTTAATGAATCTATAATAGCACACAGCTTACAAAGCTATTTCGTCTGGTACACACTTGGTTTCTTTGTCTTTATTTCATCATTGCCAATCAGGTGGCCATGAATATCTCTGTGTTTGACTTTTACTGCTCTCTGGCAGCCAGATGAGAAGCATTCTTGTATTCACACTCTTGTTGAGTGTCTATCGGACAGAATGTGTGCTGCTTTACCAGCATTCGTTCTTTCCATTTGGCATTCTCCCCACTCCCTTGATCCTTTCTCTCCCTCAATATAATCTGATGCTATTGCTAAAATACCCTTGGACGTTTTCTATAAACATAGAAAGAAGAAGGAGAATGCTATAAGACACACTCTAGACTCATCTGTAGCTTACAAGTCCTTTAAAATCCTGCATTACTATGGGGCGGAATAGATCACAGTTTGAAACAAGCCCTACTATAATTTATCCACAGAAGCCTGCTGCAAAGAAAACTCTGGCTTTCTACCCACTACTAACAGCATGACACAAAAACAACAGAATACAGGCATGTCGGAGCCACAAACTGCAACACTTGACAAGCATCATGTTGTGATATGGAACAAACAGGGATTCTGTGTTTATTATTTCTAATGGTTCCATTTTATGCTATATTCCAAGCAATTCAATTTTCAGTCATAGATTGGATCTATTTATCTTTTGGAAATTCAAAATAAATCTCATTACCAACCTGTGCACCATTCTGAGGAAAACAAATAAAAAATGAGTGCTCTTTAATGCCCCTTTCAAGTTTGAAGTTCTATAAAAACAGTAAGACTTGGGGAAAAATCTTATATCCTACAGTGATACTACAAAATGTCTGAGGTAACACACCCTGAGTCCTATATGCTTTAAAACATTCTGTTGGTTTCTCCTCAAAACCTTTCACGAGTATCAGCTTTTTACTGCCCATCTCCTCATCTCTCCCTGTCACTAGTAGGCAGAATTGCCACTGACCACACTCCCTTATTAGTTAATATAGGGAAAGGGGAGCACTGGAAAGTTGTCCTGAGAAATGTATCTTAAAGAATATTGTATTCTAGTCTATCATCTAGATATGGATTTACAGACATACTCGTTCAAATTTTATAGAAGTAAGATACACAAAAGAGGTAAAGGTTAGGATGAAATGTAAATAGAAAGAGATCCTCTTGCCCCTCCACACAAATGAAGCTGTGCCCCCTCTGGGTTATGTGCTCCACCCAGATGAGCCAGCCCTGGCCACTTCAGTAACTTGCAGACTGGACTCTGCAGTTTGCTTTCCTTTTCCCACTAGCTAATCGTAACCAATTTGTCTGTATAATCTAATCAAGCCACTCACCTTTAGATTGTTCTGTGATTTGAAACTGATAAGAAAGCAAGGAGGAACTTCATAAATTGTTGTTGTCTGAGGCCATTTATTTTCCAGCCCCATTTCCTCACTGATGACCTACATTTCAGTCAAAGGAATAGCTTAGTTCTTTGAAATTAAATGAATTTCTATTTATATTTTTAACTTTTATTGCAAAAATATTTTTTAATCAGCATAATTGTAGACTTATATTTTTCAAAACCTACTTTAGCAGGGATATTTAAATGCTTCAACCTTCCTTATGGTCCACTGACCAAAGGTAGGAGAGGAAGATGGCTAATAGGACAAGCGGAATGTGGGCCTGTTTAGAAGTAGCTCCTTGGAGCGATTCCAATCTTTGTTGTCAGCAGTCCAGTCTACTAGAGAAACACCAAACACAAACCAGCAGTAGTGGCTCAATCCAGAACAAACTGCACGAAGAACAAACTGGTGAGGCTCTGCCAATCGGCATGTGTTCACCAAAGTGGCAAAAAGCAGCCAGGGGTTCTTTGTTGCATTTCCTTCTACAAAGTCATGACATGTTAAGATCAGAGAAGAACGCAAAGGGATACAATGCAAGAGTGTCATCAATGAAGACCAGCATCAGTGAAGCCCAATGAAGTCCAGCAAGGTGAACCAATGCCAGAGTGTCATCCACTGTCTTTTGGGTTATATTTATACTCTTTTGAAACACCATATATCCTCTCAAGTGTCCACTCCAGCAAAACATCCCATGCCCTTTCACAATGCAGCTTCCAGAAAAACATTACATTTCTGATCTCACCAAAACATCCTCTCATGTGTCTGCTTCAGCAAAACATCCTCTCATAAGTCAGTTTCCAGAAGAAAACCAATGACACAACTGCCTATCCAATGAAACCAGAAATTTCCACATCATATAACACTTGTTCAGCTACTTTTTCTATTTATAGTTAACCTTTGAACTTTAGCCTATTTGTAGTACCCTGAAATACATTGTTTGATTCCTCAGTTAAGTTCTCCAGCTCTCCAATATTAGCTGATTAATTGTAATTTAATTATTTGCTATATAAGTCTACCTCTTGGTGTGTGTTTAAGATAAGATCTCACTATGTAACTTTGGCTGTCCTAGAATTCCCTATGTACACCGGCTTTGACTTGAATGCACAGAGATCTCCTTGCCTCTGCCTCCTGAATGCTTGTATTAAAGTTATGTGCCATCATGTGTAACCCATGAATCTACTATTGAATTGAACTCCAAGAGACTAGAAATCTCATATATTCATTTTGATATTCATTGCAGCCTCAGGTATCAATGGCAGTTAGAATAATGTCTAACATGTATCAATACATGTCTATAGAATAAATAGAAGAATAACGAGGAACCCACACCAAAACCAACACAACAACCTCTACATATTCTGTCTGGTAGCAAATCTAATTTATAAAGACATACTGAAATATCAAAATATCCAAATATAAAGTAGAATATTCAGTGCCACATAATAAAATTTAAGTTTAGTTACATAATAAGGAATGATAGGGCTGGTGATTAAATGCTGTGACAGTCTCTCCTGTCTGGTATCTCTTCCTATGACTTAAAGGAAGAGTTGCCTAAGAAAGCATACATTGAACTTTGACATGTGACAAGTGCATATTCTAAGATTTTTCAAACTTGTGTTCTTATCTGATCCTTGTATATTTTAGACCTTTAAGATAGATGTTTCTAGTCCTCTTATTTTAATTTTAAAAAATAGGAGTTATAATTAAGTTATGTTAAATTTTCATTTATCATTGCTAATATTTTTACTTCTCCTTTCTCTCAAAATGTGATTAGTTATAATGATTTATTGACAAATAAGTATCCAAGATCACAAAGCCAGTAAATCGCCGAGTCAAGATTTGGACTCAAGCATTCTAGTCCCAGGGCTTATGCTCCTTGCTACTGTGTGTTATTTTTCTAGTATGTTGAAAGGAGAAGCACAAATACACAGAATTATTTATTTAAGACAGACTCTGATATAATCGTTATTAATAATATGCAACTACTTAACAATGGAGAATGGAGAAGAGAACTATCTAGCCACATACATTCATTAAGCAATTATGTGGATTGGAGAGTAACTGTATTTAAACATTTAGAAAATTCAATGAAAGTCTAGGAGTATAACCATGAATGATCACTTGCATAGCATGTTTGAGGTGATTGATTGACTAAAGTACCTTTTCATATCTCTATCATGGGGTCCTTGGTCCATGACCATGGCATTATTCTTCTGACATCAATGTATTATATTATTAACATTTTATCCAAGTATTTGAATTTATCAGTTCTTAGCACTGGAAAAAAAAGATAAATGAAAAAAAATGTTATCAAAGAAGTAATATCTTTCTTTTTCTCTTTTCAGCAACCTAGACACAGAAGAACTATGTGGTAAGTTTCTTAAAGGCCAATCAAAGTATTGTTAATTTGATTTAGAAAAGGGCGAGATATGATGTGGTATTTCTCACACCTTAGAGTTAAAAGTCTGGGAGTAAGGAGTTTAAAGAATGTGTCTGAGTCACCAGGGATTTTTATGTATTCTTAAATTTGGCTTCAGTGTGCACATTACTTAAACAATTGAGGCCAGCTAATTTGCTTGTGAATAGAAAATTAGGATTGTGGGGTGATTTTATAGAAACTAACTCTTCACTAGCCTAATGTGACTTCTCAATTTGCTTCACAATCATCATGTAGCCTTTCCAAAGTTGTATCCTTGGAATATAAAAATAACTTTGTTCCATATCTGTACAATCATTCTAGAGACTTAAATACACTTTTGAAAAAAAAGCACAAGTGCAGAAGAAAATATTTTCAAACGCCTAGTCTACCAGCCTTTTCATTTATCTTTGTTATTTTTGAAGCTGGGAACAGAAAACAGAGATTAAAAATGTGGGAAAGTAAATGATCTGAACTTTATTCTTTGGTGTGAGAATGGAGCATTATGAAACTACTAAACATTATATATATATATATATATATATATATATATATATATATATATGTCTCTGAATATGGCGAGTTTTATATTTTGCATTTTAAGACAAATGTGTTAAATAAAACCTTTGCACAGCATGATTTATTGTCTAGGCAGCCTAAAACATTTAGATAATTTAAAGAAAAGATTTTCCAAGACTTCTCATTGAAATTACAAATGTTTCCTAGCTACTGTAGAAATTTTACAGTTTTAGAGCTCACCACAGTCACTCAAATGGACATTTTATGTCATTTAAAATTAACAATCTTCTGTTTCATCAATCTGGCAGATCATCATTGAAAGATTTTGTCAGGATAAAGTGTCACATTGTAGTTTCAAGACAGTAACTAAACAAAACAAATGCTAATCACAGATCAGGAGCGTTCAAAGGTTTCAGTGGCCATTAAGTGCTATGCTTCCTGAATAATACCTGCAAGGTGTCCCTCCCAGTTCAGGGACAAGAATCTAACTGAAGAAACAAGATCTGGTACATAAACAAGGCATTTTGGCATCCCAGAAGGTTAGGCCTTTGTGACTTACGGAGAAAGCCTGCCATGCCTTCACACACAGTCACAGGTATCTCCCACTCTGCATGGCAGTTATTATGCTAACCAGACAAAGGGATCTCAATAGCCCATTGACATTAAAATGTGTGGTAAACAGCAAAGTCCTTCAATGTCAAGTTGTAGCCTATCCTCCTGTATATACAGCCCCTGCTCAAGCTGTAGTCTATCCTCCTGTGTAGACAGCCCCTGCTCAAGCTGTAGTCTATCCTCCTGTGTAGAC